ATGGGGAGCAGGATTGCTCTATAAATACTGTCAGCTGTTTTCTTGGCTCTCCGTGGCTTTTTGCTTGTTCCTTTGCTTAACGTGCTCAATCGTTTTTCGATCACGTTCCACTTTATTGCACATTACGTATTTTGCTTTGATATCTTTGGGAATTATTTGGGTTGTTTCCAATATTTGATGTGAATTTAATGCCAGTGGCCCCCAGTTAGAAATGTATTTACGGTGAAAAATATTTGTCTCCAGTGCTTTGATTGAAAAGAATTGAAAACGATGCCGGATTTGCTGGTGTCTATTTAATGTTGATCAGCTGTTTGTATTTGCACAAATGATACAAGACAAAGATAGCAACTAAATAATATAGCATAAGTACCGTAAAATGTGCCTTGTGAATAAATCAGCAGTATTTCCGTGGAAGTGTTAATAAGCTAAGCTAAAACTGAATATTTTAAATTCAAACAATGTTACAGATCTCAACCATATAACTTGTAGCAGAAATAAAATTAGCATCTCTCGCAAACTATCACATCTAAATTAGATGTTTTATTTTTTATTTTTTTTACTTAAGAAATGTAAATGATCTTCAGATAGAAATAGCTGCATTAAGAGGTGATCATCCACCAGCTGGCCATTTCCCTCTTTGAAACTATTCTCCTTTCATTAACCCACTTCAGGTAAATTCTCTGCAGAGCTGCGAACCCAACAACCTTTAAATGGACGTCGGGATTTTGCATAACATTTTCTGACACCTTATCCAACAGAGAAGAAGGGGAAAAACAAGAAAAAAAAAAGAAATTGCACCTGTCAGGGAGTTTGGTGCAAACAATGTGATGCGGTGAGCGTCACAGGATGCCGGTGGCAGTTCATAATGAATGATTAATCAGAAATTGCTTCACTGTGTTTTGTTCCACACTCTGTATTCGCTCATTGTCCATGTGATCAGCAAATGAGAAAATAAAACCACACTGAGGTCTTCTGTCTCGTCTTTATTGGGTTTGTCATGTTGTTGTTCTGTTTTACCGTGAATGTGAATTGTTGTAATAATGTGAATACTAAATGCTCATACATTGGTGAATTGTTTGAGACATCGCATTGCTTATTAAACATATTTATCTTTTCAGCTGGGCTCAATAGTGTTTGGCTTGTTCTTACTTCAAATTGTTATGTTAATTATATTCCTTATGTGAGAGATGTCTTTTTTTTAATGATCATTACTTTTTTTGGCTCACTTTTTTCAGTTGTTACTATTTCTTCTTCAAATTTTTAATTAGAATTTGACATTTCTTTCCACAGTTTTATTGTCTTTGACTCTTTGAGTTCCCCTGGACCAGTGTGGCAGTGCACAAGGGCCCCCTTTTGATTCTCTCTGGTATTACACCTTCATTTTGTCTCATTTTAATTTTATGATGTAAAGCTAAATATTAAATTAAAATGTAGTCATTCCAGAAATGAACTTGATTGCATGAGGGAACACACACAATCTAAACGATAAATTAAATAAAGGATGCACCCTTAGTGCCTCTCTATAAGACCGGCTTTTCTCTGTTGAGGATTGAGAGTAGACAATTTCACAGATTAATGTCCTTGCAAATATAAATGGTTTTAAAGAAAAAAAAAATGGCACAATCTTAAGGACTTATTTCCTGGAATTGTGTTAAGTCGAAATCTGGTATTCCAGTATGATGTAATAAATTCTATTAATTTTTGTTCAGATCAAAGATGAACATGGCTTCTAAGTGCCAAATTTGGTTATATTTTCTGTAAATATAACCAAAATATACATGTGAAAATATCTTTGGCATTTTTAGCCTCTTTAAAGAGTAACTAAACATGTCCCCAAAAGGGATTCCTTTTTTTTTTTTTTTTTTTTTTTATTATTAGGGTGTTTTACAATATTTTGCAGCAGCTGTATGGGCACCACTGGTAGAGATGTGTGAAAATTAAACATTTATAGCAATATAGTTTCAAACTGCATAGCCCAATGCATAAAATAAGTGCATGTTTTTGATGGAAAAATTTACATTTACATAAATAAATATATTTTTAATACGTGACACCTTATTACTGGTTAAAAATAAAAATCTTCATCGAAGCAGTAGTTTCCTTTTCCATCCATGACTTACGTTTTCCCTACGGTATAAATATCGTGCGACACAGAGACATTTCTATGAGCCCCTCTTCAAAATGGGAAAGACAAGTCAGCACCTGATTCAAATAAGGCAGATGTTTGTTGATCTTTATTGGTTGAAAATGCAGAGAGTAATATTTAAAAATGTTTGAAATATCAGGAAATGTTAGAAGCAAAGCCGGACTTAAAATACTGTGCTTTGCAAATGCCACTCTGAATTCCCCAACATTTATTATATTACTCTCAAACATGTCAGTGTCTTGTACTAAAATTTGGTGTTATCAGCTCAATGCGTATTTTAAACTATAAGTCTTATGAATGGATTGCAACATATTTTGCACAAACTTGTCTGAAAAGTGTGCCGCCACCCGGACTTTGTTAACTCGCAGTAAACTGCAGTTACAGACGTAAAGCACTGGGCGTGTGCCTCCACCAGCTTGGCTCCTTTAGACAATGAAATCCAAGTTCTTGAGGTATTAATCGGTTTCCTAATGTCCAACCATAATAACAGAACTACAAAAGGAAACATGTTGCACTTAACCCAGTCACTGTTTAAATTCCAAATAAAAAAGAAAATAAAAAATAGAAATAGTGAGAAAGTCTCACCAAAATTTTTATTATGAGCAGATTGGAAACTGCGGGTTCTTATCACTTTGCGTTTTTTGGTAGTGTGTTTCAACTCTTCAACAAGATGTTGACTGGCAATTGTTTCTGTAAAAACATTGTACTCCTCGTCTGCACACACTGTCATTTTCTCGCTGTCTGCATATAGTTTTTGTTCCGGTGTTTTGCCATCTGTACATAACTTTCCTTGCCCTGCCATCTGGAGATGCAGATTTTCATTCTACATTCTGCGCTGTCACTCTTATGCCTCTTTGCACGTTTAGAATGGTCTTTCTGTCATTGGTCCTTCGAACTCACACATTTGTGTTTCATTTAGTTTTATTCATTTAGAAGGTTGTCACTAAATGCTCATGCTAAATACAGTTATTAGGTGCACAGGAATAGGGAAAGTCCAGCCTGTCTGCTCTGAGGGAAAGTCATCTCTTTCCAAGCCACAAGAAAGTCTTGAAGCCAGTCCCAAGTCCTTAACTTTGAATTTTAAGTCTTAAGCAGCTGATTTGATCAATAATGCAATATAAATCCATCACATCATTTCCTGTATATCTACACATTTGGCATATTTTGTTTCTGTTTAACTACCTCATAATTCCTGTAAACAAATGCAATGACCTTTTATTTATGTTTTCCTCTCTAATGCCATAGAGCAAAATATAGTGTCTATTCATGCTTCTCTTCTGTAACTTCACTGTATGTTGTGTCAGACGGAGGGATTCTGATTCAGAAGATGTTTAAGGTACATCGGTGCAGATTTTCAACTGGAAGTGAAGTCACAGGTGTTGAAGTCTGAATCATGCTCTCAGTCTTTAGGGATATCATCAAGTCGAATATGGAGTCATTAAATGTGTTATTCGGGTTTGAGTTGATTCCAACTCATACGATTCAAGTCCACAGGTTCCAGGGAACTGCAGCAATCAATAATGTAATAACCTGCCACTCCTGTAATAAGGCATCAGGGCCAACAGGGTGATAACATTTCCCCAGTAATGTGATAAGTTATCACGTTTTTTTGGCCAGTATTCTGAAGGTAATTTAAAAATGTAGGTTGCGCGATCTCTCTCTCCGCATTCTAGCACATTTTACACTGAGATCTAAATACCAAATGAATTTCGCGTTCGTTCAATAAATCTCACTCCACACAGAGAAATTATATGAGCAAAAAAAACTTTCAAACCATTTGTACAACACAAGATTCTCCAACACGGATTACAGTTATTAATTAAAAAGACTGAATGCTGAATAGTATGTAACCTTGACGAATGAATATGAAGTTTATGTCATCCATCAAGCCTATTTTATATGAGCTCCACTGCAAAAAAACCCTCTTACTTTCAATAAATTATCTTTATGTAACACACTTACTGACTGCAGCTGCTGCATTTTAAATTTTTTTTTTCTTTTTCTTTTTTTTATGTTAACATAATGACTTATTACACTACCGGCAAAAGGTTATTTCATTATTGGTTTAAAAATCTTATTACACTATTGGCTTTATTACATTTAAAACGGCCAGAGTAATTATGCTATTGGCAGGAATTATGTTATTGGCTGCAACAGAGATTACAACATTAACAATGTTGGTTCTAATCAAAACCATGAACCTAAATACTAACATGATGCCATAATACATTATCATATTCATACCACCTTCATAGCAGCCTGCGTAGATCTCACATTCTCTGCCATGTTTTGAGTTTTATTGTTTTGCTGTAATTAATTTCACATATGATTCCATGTTGTGTTTAGTTTCTTATCACGGAATGTGTTTTCTACGCCTCGGTTTTAATCCTTTGATTGTTTGTTTTTTTTTTTTCCTTCTGTAGTCTCCAGAGGTTTTATGCAGTTAGGTGTGTGTGAGCTGTTTTATGCAGATATTGGTTTTACAAAAATTTACATACAAATAGAAAACTCTGACAACTGCTACAATGATTCTTTAAACCCGTTTTTTTCATTCACCCATGCAATTTGAAATATGAGGCTTTTGGCCCCTTTTTTCCACCTCCCTTTTTACTGTTCTGTCTTTTCTTTCTTCCGCTGTCAGATGCCTATTTGCACGGTAGATTCAGTGTACCCGGTAGTTTGATACTTGAGTAAACTTTCTTTAGGTTGAGAAGGGAAACTTGACCATCAGGTTCACACTGGGTGTGGTATGTACGTGTGTGTGTGTGTGTGTGTTGTTAATGCCACGTCCTGGTCTTTCTGTAACTCTAGGAGCCTTGACACATTTTTTTTCCCCCTTTTTGTTTGCACAAATACGAGAGTTGGCTGCTGGGAATTTTTCGGGGAACGTCTGCAACAGATAAGATGACACCAACGCTGCACTGCGCCAGTTTTATTTGCGTAATGAGCGCATGAAGAACACCTGAAAGGATTCATTTTGACAGATCAGTCTTTCGGTTTGTTGCTGAAATGAAAGATCGAAGTGAGGGTTTATTTTAAAACTGGTAGGTTTTGCTTCTGAGACTCGTGATCTTCACGTGTCTTTCTTCTTTCTTGGCAGCGTCCCTGACCCTCACTGCTGTGATTGTGCTCCTTCTAATCTTTTTCCTGACATCATTTGATGCACAGGAGAAGGCACACAATGTTCTTGGTGAGATGATTTATTTCTATTCTTAAATCTTTAAAGCTGAGTAGTGATCTCTTGTCAATGCCATACATCTTTATTTTATTTTATTTTATTTCAGGGTTCAATAAAATTCACACAACATCCACAACAGGTGAGTCAGAAATTCACATTTTTGCTGCTAGCCTTGAAATCAAGTCAGTTTTATACTCAATTTGTATTAAAGTGGTAACCTAGTTCTTTTTTTAATGTATAATTTACATTTTAAGGCCCAGCTAAAGCAGTACCAAAGTGCAGCCTCTCTGCAGTCTGTCCTTCGGACCACTTTGCTTTTAAAATCCAGAGTGGAGCTGCTAATGTAGTCGGTCCAAAAATCTGCTTTGATGGTAAAAAGTATGTATGAATGTGGTCTCAGATTCGCATGCTGAACCGGCGAAGGCTGCGACCCTCCTGTGAAAATCAATTGTCATCTGTGTCTCAACAGCATCATGAGTCACATTATGAACAATGTGGGACGAGGACTAAACATTGTGGTGGTAAATGGTAAACTCTGATTTATAAATATAGGAGTCAGCATGCTGACAAGCTGTCTGTGTAAAGTCATGATGTCTTAATGTTTATTGTCGATTGTTTATAAAAGGATTAACCTGAATGGTTTCGGGCTTATAGGTTTATTCTTGCAGAAATATGGTGCTTTGCAAAAGTATTAACACCCACTGATTTGTCATGTTACAAACACAAAATTTACTTGATCAACTCAATGTTTTAAAGAATCACATTTTGCTTCAGGTCTAGATTCCCAAGGTTGAACGAAAGGTGTGTGCAAGCAGGAATTTTCAAGTTTTCCTGTCTTAAGATTTCGGCAGGATCCTTGATTAGGACAATCTAACCCGTGAATATTATTGCACTTAAGTCTGACAGGTTCTCCTTCAGAACTTCCCTGTATTTAGCTCCGTCTTGCATCTCATCAACTCTGCTTTTGAAAAATGCGTCTCCACAGAATGTTACTTCCGCTACAATTCCTCACGGCAAGGGATTGTGTTCGGGGTGTGTTGAGAGCTTGAGATAAAACTCAGTGTCCATTCGCTGCTTGAGCCTCAATGACAAACTCCTAATCATGCTATTTTTAGCTCAGCTGAACAAAAGCCTTCCACTCAGAGATTTACAGTTTTCACTCCAGCGTCTGAGAGGGCAATAGTATGTTAGCTACTATGTGTTGTCTACTCAGAGGAAGAGCAGAAGAAAGGAAAGGATCAAATGACGAGAATATTAACCCGCTTCTTTTTTTTTTTTTTTTTTTGTATGCCTTGTCCACACAACAACACATTGCTCCTCACTGTACTTCTTCAAAGTAAACATAATTGTTGTTGTTTTTCTTCTGCTTATGATCCGACCCTTCATGTTTTATATCCGCTGTGGATTTGGTGTCACCGTCTGACTGAGGCAATTACTACCCCTGCTGGCCCACATAGCCAGACTGTTGTGGACAGGTAAAGATGAACTGGATGAGTTAGATGAATTCACTCGGCAGATGGCGGAGCGAACAGAGCGGAATTAGGCTTTGGTTTTTATCCACACATCAGTTTTTGCCTGTAGGTCAAGGAGTTTAGTTTAGGTCTCATCTGACCAGAGTGCCTCCACATATTTTCTGTGTAGTAAACTTTAGACCAGAGGACTTTCTTTCAACAATAACTATTGTGGTTGCGATATTTGTTAAGTTCTCCTGTCAACAGATTTAAAGTGAAAAGTCTTAATACAAAAATATAAATAAAATAACAAAGTTTGTTCCACTTGAAAGGTTGTTGCATGCAAAATGTTTGGTTGTATCATTGTTGTCTGTTGACCTAGAGGGAAATGGGGGTTGGTGCATTCAGGATGATAATGGCTTGTGGGAAGAAACTGTCCCTGAGTCTGTTTGTCCTGGTTCTAATGCCTGGCGGAGGGCAGCAGGTCAAGCAGGGGGTAGGCGGGATGAGTGCCGTCTTTGATGATGTGCTTCGCTCTCCTGAAGCAACAAGAAGTGCAAATGCCTTTCAAAGAAGGCGGAGGGCAGCCCATGATCTTCTGCACTGTCTTGATCACTCTCTGGAGCCTCTTCTAATCTGCCTCAGTTCAGTGGCTGAACCACGTCGAGGCGCAGTGGGTTAGGATGCTCTCTGTGGAGGATCGGTGGAAGGTCATCAACGGCTTCTGGTAGATGCCGTTCCCTCTAAGCAATCTCAGGAAATGCAAATGTTGTACCTTCTTGTCGACAGACCAGGACTGAGGAAAGATTTTGGCACCCTGACTCACAGACGAGCATGCAACGTGTCTTTAAGTAATGCCTTGGTATGTTGGTAATTGTGTTATTCTCTTTTCATTTTTGTATGATGTTCCCTGTTCGAAACTTGAAATGTTATTTCTTAATCTAACTTTGCTTTAAGCTTCTCCACAACTTCATCCCGGTGCTGCCCGACGTGTTCCTTGATCTTCATGATGACGTTTGATCACCAGCATTATCTACAAAACCTTTGAGGCCTTCACAGAAAAACTGGAGTTATGCTGAGATTAAATTGCACAGAAGAGGGCTGTATTTGCTGTATGGGTTCATTCTGAGGGCAGTCTAAGTTTAGGGGGCAGTATAAATATCCACACCGCAATATTTTACATTTTTATGAGGAAAAAAGTTCAAATCATGAATCTTTTTCCTTCCACTTCAATATTATGTGCCACTTTGTCGAAGTCCAGCACAAAAAATCCCAATGAAATACATTGTAGTTTGTGATTGTAAGGTGAAAAAGGGTGAAAATGGGGTATGAATACTTTTGTAAAACACTATATATTGCTTCAAGGCTTTGCAATAATAGTCAAGCAGTCAATGTGAATGGTCTGTTTCTGACTATTTTTCCCATTACTGTAAATAAAAAGTAAATAATATATATATATATATATATATATATATATATATATATATATATATATATATATATATATATATATATATAAGTATATAATTTTTTTTTTTTTCTATCACAAATAGGTGAGAATGGAGTTGTAGAAAAGTTTGGCCATCTTAACATGATTAGTGGAAGTAAGTAATGACAATTTGTTTAACACATTTCAAACGCTGAGCTTTATTGAAGCGCCACAGTTTCTTTTCTTTCCAAATTTGAATTCCATATCAGACTCGGCAGACATCTTGGCATACCTGAACGAGATAAAGCCAGGAATGATTGTGCTGGTGGCCTCCTTTGATGATGCAGCAACAAAGTAAGCCCGAATCAAAACTTTCCAACATTTAAAAACGATCCAGGGTCACAGAACAGTGGCCTTTTCTGCTCATTTGCTGCAGGATGACAGATGAAATAAGGCAGATGTTTGTCGAGATGGGAAGCACTTTGATCGGCTCTGTTAAGCGGAGAGACAACTGGGTGTTTGCTGGGAGAACGGGGATAAAAATCAAAAGCTTCTTTGAGCAGGTCAGTGGACCCTGTCTGTGTCACTTTATTTGTTGTATTTGTGCCAGAAAAGCAGAATACATAAAACAAGTGTTTTTTCTTTTATTCTCTTCCTGCCTCCGGTAGCGAGCTGAGAACGATAAGGAAACAAACATTTTCGATGGATGGCCAGGGATGGTGGAGGTGGGCGGCTGTTTCCCAAGGACCATAGGTGTCTAAAAGTTTTCATAAATGGACTTTGAAGATTTCCTTGCAAAAGACTTGAAGCTATGGAAAGTATTTTATTCTGCAGAATTCAACAAAACACTCTGTTGTGCAAAATCCTTGCGGGCAAAAAAAATAATAAAAATAAAAATAACAATCTGCATTAATTTTCAAAAATTTTATCTTCTCATTTTATACTTGGAGGATTGGAATAAATCACCTGTCCAATGAGGTGGACATCATGCATCAATGGTTGTGTTTTAGCAATACTGGTAATGTGCTGTTCCTGGAAATACTTGAACACCAGCACCGGTTCCTGCATCAAAAAAAACAAAACCAAACAAGCATAGTTTCATTATTAGGCTGTACTTTTCAGATTAGTTCAATTGCGCATGAAGCAGTCGGTGAATTTTATTTATTTTCTCTTTTTTTCACTATGTAAGTCTGAAGACCTGTAGGCGGCACAGAGGAGCTTGGTCAGGGGAGCAAAAAGTCAGAACCCTAAAGATGTTTCTCAGGACATAAATGAAGGATTAGGAAATAATGGACATAGTGATTCTCAGCTGCTGAGGGAGATAAGGGATGCACATGAAAAAGTTGAAGATTTGCCATCTGACAAAACTTAAGAACATTATAAAGCAAAATTTTGGATAACAGGATGCTCAAAAAAAATAAAAAAATCTGTTGTTTCGGTGTGATTGCCTTCTGGATATGTTCCTTAGTCGTACCAATAGGTTGCTGGGTTGGGTCATTTAGTGCCCAGAGGTCATTTGTTAAATTGCTGGGGCAACTGAAGCAGTAGAGCACCAAGGGGAATGAGTTGGAAAGGTGAAAGGAGCATCTAGAAAGACTCTGTAAACGTTAACACTGAGACCTCTTTCACTGTACTCAACAATACTAGAACATGTAAAAATGTGTACGATAGCAATATATTTGCAGTGTTTTTGTTTTTCCTATTAAATATTGTTAGTGTTTTGTAACATTCAGCTAAATCCCCAAATGATTCATACCTTTGGCTGATTTAGGTTTTAAAGCAACATTATCTTATTAAAACATTTCCCTTCTGACTCTAAACGTGATAAATGTTTCCGAGTGGAAAAAGTGGAGTCCCGGCTTGAATCTGTGGCTTGAGCTAAAGATTAGGGTGATGGCTGGAAGTCCTTCCAACCTCAAAGACTTTCTCCTCGGTATATGAAATCATGAAGTTAGGATTACTGCAATCACATTAAAAGTTGCTTTCAAGTGATTGAGGACAGAAATCATTTTTCAAATTTCAGTTTTTATTAAAACGTTAATAAAAACAGTTACTTTCTGTAATTATCTTTTCTTAAATCATTTTGGGCCCGTGTGTCAATATTTTAAAACTAAAACACTTTTATCACATGAGTGAAACATGGGGACTTTTAAACATTACATTGAAAGAAAGTAATGTATGTTTGTGTCACAAAGACAAGTATTGGCAAGTGTTTAACATGTTGACACTTCATCTCAAATTGTTTTCACTTCCACAACAGTGATGGCAAAACATAAGGCTGCAAGGGACTCTGAATCCCTTCTGGAATAGTTGGCATTATTATCCAGGAAAGACAAAACTCAGGTTTAGTGTGGATCATCTCAGAAGGCTTTCGGACAGCTTCAGGCTGACCTGAGGCTGTCTCCGCTGTCTGCCTGAGACTCACCATGAACGAGCTGTGCACAGAGCGGAGTGGAAAACAGGAGAGGTTTCATGAGCAGAAGCCAAAGGAGACACCCGTACTGTAACAGCAGCCCAGAAATGTGAAATTAATGTTTGTTTTAATGAGCCAGTCTCTCTGAAATGTGGCAAAAATAGATCTCTTTGGGAATAAAGAGCATCGGTTTGTTTACAGTCAGCAAAATGAAGTCCATGTGGGAAAGCGTTGTCTGTCTTTTGATGCCCTCTGTGTTTTCTCCTCTAACTGTTTTTTGGATAGTCTCTGAGTCATACTTTGATCTTTTTGAATCGTCGTGACTTTGAACACTTATCTAGATGATCATTTTTGGACTTCTTTGAAGACAAATATCTTTGAGTGAATTTTTTACACTGTGTAACTGGGTTAAGGGTCTCAGCGAGACTTTTTGAAGGACCGTTTTGATGTTTTAGCAATGCCATGGAGTTTTTTTTTTTTCTTTTTTTTTGTGCTTATGAGATGTCAAAACATCTTCAAAACCTAACTCTGAAAGATACTGCATGGCCTAACTTTGCCTCTTTAATAAATTCAAAAGATCAAACTCAATTTTCTCCTGAATTTATTCAGATTCTGACAGAATCCAAAACTCCTGTATGTAACCTGTTTGTTTTGAGTGCTGCTTTCCTGGGAGGATAATTATTGGTTGAAAAAGTTTCTATTTATCTTTTTTGTTTGGCAACTGCAGCAAAGAAAGAATTGCCTCAAGTGAACTGTAGAAACTCACTTGCTGATACAAGTGTCTGAAAAAAGTTCAGAACAGAATAACGTTTATGTATTTATTTATTTATTTCATTTCTCCCTTAGTTGAAAAATGTAACTTTCTAGTAGCTGATCCATTCAGAAGTTTGGAGCAGAAACATTTTTTAGGCATTTCTTTTCTTCTGCTGGATTTGTGGACATCCTGCAGGACGGAGATCCCGGGGCGGATCCGGAACATTTTGGATGGATTTTTTTTTCCCCCTTTTGGCCCTGGAACAGCAGGGCCTCCCCAGTGGAGAGGGATGTCTTGGTTTTCCCACTCGGAAACTGTAGCTCCTGCGACCTGACCTCAGATAAGCAGACAGAAATGAATGGGTGAATGGACTCTCTCCACCCAGAGACCCAGCAGGTCTCTGACCAGTCGCTGAATTCCTGATTCATGCTGAGAACGTGGCAGTGACCCATAGACAGGTGAGTTTTCTCTTGACTTCCTCATGAAACACATCATGTGAGTCATTCTTCAGGAACATCAGGATAACCAAGCATAACCTATGTGACAAAACCTCTTTCTCTAAAGTTATAAAGCAAATGCTTTAGGTTTAACTCACATTTTTCTGCTCTCTGTGTCTCACTTCTGCTCGTTTCCCCAAAGGAAGTGAATAATCGGACCAAAAACAGGTCTTTATCAAACTGAAAAGATGCCCGCCGAACAGTGGGCCTCAGGGACTGTTTATGCTGTCATGTCCTATTAATTCCTCTCAGCACAATATCCTCTGTGTGAGACTGGCCAAACAGCAGGACTCCCCCTTCATCAACCAAACAGCTGCTGGCACTGATGCTACCATTAAAGACCTTTCCGCGCTTTTATAGATTCTTTTTCTATTTAGATCATTTGCTGCTGTCTCGTGAAATCCAACTAATGATGTAAAGTAGACACTGCGGAGCGTTTGTGATGGCAGCAAATTATAGAGAAACAGGATTATTTTCTGCGCCGCACAACTCATTTTGTAAGAAAGTTGCTGTTTATGTACAGGCGTTTATAACCGCTTTTCATCATGCCTTTTGCTAATAGCTCTTCGGAGCCATTTGGGAAGTCAGGAAGACGAACTTCTGCCGTTCTGAAACTAAATGTTTTCCTTTAATTAGTTGATGATGGATCTCAGCTGCCCAGCAGTTCAGAATCTTCTCTCGTGCTTTGTTCTGTTTGTTTTCAGCGCACAAATTACTTCTGCAGTCACGTCGATGTTAACACCTAAACCGCCTTTCTATGAAGCTGCTGTTGTTGTTGTTGTTTTATTTTTTAAAAGGGTCCTTTGGCATTTTGAAGCACAGATCTTGTCGTATGTGTGTAGGATATGATTCATTAAACAGTTAGTGCACTGCTTTTGTTAAAACAAACCAAGTAAATAGATGAAACTGATAGAAAGAGAGCTCAACATGATCTGAAGGCTGATGACAGCCAGCTGAAGTTCATAGCACGTGCCAGTAAATAGGCACATACATTCTATTCATCAGACAGCTTTAAAAGAAAAAAAAGCACAAAGTGCCTCACACAAAACCAGAGGAAAATTAATAAAACATGATGAAAAAGTCAAAAAACCTTCTCCGCAGAACTGATTTACATGTTTTTCAGTTGAACTGCGTGTTATACACGTACAGCAGATCAAAGCAGGAAAAAGCGTCGATATCATTTATAATGACCTCATTATATCTGACCAAAAATGTAGCATTTCATCAGGGAGTGTGGGCACTTTTTTTTTTTATATCCACGACCTAAGAATTTAAGATTTGGTCAGGAATGATCCAGCTTAAGGTCCTCTGGGATTTCCAGCTGCTGACCGCAGCCGCTGGGAAACCTGAAATGAAGCCGGTGGTGATGGATGCAGCGATCTGAGCTGGCAGCAGAAGTATGAGAAGTACGGAAAGAGGAAGTTTCAGAAACTCTTAAGTGCTGAAAGGTGAAAAATGAATCAGAAATTGTGAAAAGTTAACGTCTCAGTGGTGGAGGGGCCTTTAGATCTCTTGGGGCCCGTGTCCCCTCAACCTGAGCGCAGCAGAGGTGCAGACTGCCGACTCTCGGATGTGAACTTCAGGACCAGGTTTGAGATGGAAAAGATCCTCACATTTATAAAGCTAATAATGCATTTATTAACATGTTTCTTCAGGTCTCTTGATTCTCTGAATAAAGCTAAGACAATTAAATGACAGATATTTTACAGTTTTCTTTCAGGAACATTGTCTTAAAATGTCCCTTTGCAGTCTTTAACTCAAAGCTGAAACCTTACTTCTCAGGCTTAATAATATTCATAAAATATCCCACATTTTAAGCCTAAAACAGATCTTTTTTTTTTTCCTTTTTCCTGTCAAATTTAAAATGAATACAATCAAAATGTTACATCTTCAGAAATCATTAACTTGCTTTTCCAGTTACATTTTCCCCAGTGCCCTGTCTCTTGCTTTCCCATTGTTACAGCACAGTCAATGAATTTATTATCAGACAACAAAGGCAGAAGGAAACAGTTTATTCAGCTGTCCTGTCTGTGTCCCACAGGGGGAGTGATTTTTTCTCCCGTCAATTAATTCTGCTCAAACTCCATCAAATGAGGACCTCAGTAGGAATCAGAGTAGTTTTTGTTTGATCCCCTCAT